CCCTCCGCCGTGTTTCAAGACGTATCTGTAAAAAGTTGGACGCCGTCAACGTTGTTGGAGTCGTACATTTACTGTAAACAAAATGTTTATATGTTTGGATCCATCGGAGTTTGATTAACATAACAAGGGGATGACGCAACCAGACGAAGAAGAAGACGAAAAATCCAGGCAACAGACTGACGTCAGCTTCAGTCAGTCACGTTTATTAGGAGGTTCACGTCCTTCTCCCACTGTGAGCCAGGCACCTGGGGGTGATGGCACAAAAACCAAATCCAGGGTAGCTGAGGTAGCTTTTAACCTATTCTGATCTGTGCATCTTCAACGCACGTCGAGCCGAGTGTAGATATTCTGGAAACTTGCGTGTTTACAACGTTCTTGAATAGACGTTGGAATTGCTCACAAAATCACCGATGGGACGGTGGATAACAGTCGTACTTCATACTTCACAGCTGCAGAACAACAGCTCCTGATGGACTTCTATGAAGAGGAATCCTTTTTAGCTTGACTTCCTGTGTGTGTGTGTGTGTGTGTGTGTGTGTGTGTGAAGGAAACTATAGTAGGAGCCTTCTTCTGGTTCCAACCAAGACTAAAGACTGTGTGTGACCGGCAGACAGTAGCAGATGGATGGAGAGAACTTTATGAATCCCTCTGCAGTGCCTTATGGGAAATGAGGCATATATTAAGCATATATGCCAGAGTAATAAATGAAACACTTGAATCAATATAAATGGACTGTTGCAGTTACTGACAGTCAATGGACTTCAATGTCAATGACAAATGACAATATAAATGGAACATTGTAGAAATACAGGTGAACCAGGAGGGTCAGTCGTAGTCTGGCTGTTGGCCTGGTCAGGAGCAGACCAGTTAGCTCTGTCCTGCTTTCTACAACCGACTCCAGGATAACTTCAGACAGATTAAGCAACATGTCCTGGTTTAATCCCTTATCTTGGTTTTGTAATGTTAGCCCTCAGGAGACTGAAGTCTGTAAACAAAACATTCTGTCGCACCAATCACAGACTGCCACAGACTAAGGTCCTTAGAGAACAGTGGTTTTAGCTCGCAGAGAAACACGACTGCTGGTCCACTGCTGCCTCGTGTGGTGAGTTGGTGTCACTGAGATAAACCTAAATAAAGAATCTATACACATTGGACACATTTGGAGTGATGGAGGCAGCAGTGGATCGACAACTGCTGTGTCTTTGGAAAATCAGTGATTTTCTCTATGAACTTCAGTGTAGGAGGTTAAGAAGCAGGAGGTAGACAGGAAAAAGAAACGGAGGGAAGGGAGGTGGAAAAGTGAAGAAAGACCAAGGCCACAGCCCACACATACACACACACACACACACCATATACACACAGTGGTCAGAGGGTCACTTACAGTTCATGTTGACTATGAACATGAAGAAGGAAAAAAGAAAAAAGAGGAATCAGGAGAGAAGTAGAGATGAGAGGAGGATGAAGAGAAATTATTTAAGTTCTGTAGCAGAGAAATTGATCAAAGTGAGATTTCATTTCACAGCAGGTTCATGTGAAGGTCAGCAAACGCAGCACACACACACACACACACACACACTGGGAGTTTAAATGTAAATGAATCTGCTCAGAAGCAGACAGTAAATTAAAAAGTGATCAGTGAACAGTAGGTGGGCTGTTTCTGGGACAATTCTTCAAACACCGCACACACACAGAGTGAACAGTAGGTGGCCTAATTTCTGAGACAATTCTTCATCTCCTGAAACTCCACCAAAACCAACCAAACTCAGCGGAGCCTCCACCCAAAATGACCGAAGGAGGCGCCGACTCCAATGATCCCATTTCCTCCACCCAGAGCGACTGGGCTCAGACTGGTCCACTCACCGGACCCTGACCCATCGCCCACCATCATAAATTAACCACATTCTGAAGAGGAGAAACGATGGTCGAGGAGATCATCTGTCCAGATGTCTCCTAATGATTAACGGGGAGTCGGAGCAGGACGATCCGGCCTGACCAGAACTTTACTCAGATATGAAAGATCAAAGTTTCTTTAGCTGCTGCTGCTCCAACTCTCCTCTGACGCTTCAGTCGTTGGTAAACTTCAGTCGTCATCATGTTGCGAGCTAAGGAAAGAATTTAGGGCTTCAGCTTCACTGAGCTAAGAGTCTGCGAGCTAAGGAAAGAATTTAGGGCTTTAGCTTCACTGAGCTAAGAGTCGTTACTATGATGATAAAATTGGAGCTTGTGAGCTAATATTTTTGCTTAAACTTCATCTTAGCTGGACTGACTGAAGTCTTTCTCTGTGCAACTTTTTAGCTTCAGTAGGCTAACATCTTTTCTTAGCCTCAATCTCTAAAATACAATGACGTGTTCTGTGCTAAGCTCTTAGCTTGTTGGAGTTGATTATAACACCTACTTTTCCTAAAGTAACCAGTTATAAATTCAGAGTGTTGTTAACCTGCCATTGTCTAATGAAACAAAGAAACAGTGACTTTATTGGAGTTTAATTAAATCAGCTGTTGTTCACACAAAGCTGCAGAAAAACACAACGGACTAAAAGTGACAAACTCGATACTTTCAGGCAAAAATAAAAAAAAGTGCATTTTGTCTTCTCTTGAAAATGTAAGTTGTTTGTTAGCTGTTAGTTTTTGGTTGAAGCAGAGACACAGTAGTTAATGCGACTGAGAGAGCAGTGAAGTTAGCAGCTGGGAGCTAACAGCTAAAGGCACATTCTGCAGCATGAAGGCATCGTTGCAGATATAGAAACCAGGCCGAAGCAAATTTTGAAAATAAAAGCCTTCCTTTACATCAGCAGGATAATTAAGTTTGGTTAAATATAAGGCACAACGTAAATACACTGATCAAATGGTTTTGGTGTTTTGTGGATTTTTGGGTGTTTTTGTCGTTCATTTTTTATGGTTTGCACGTTACTCTCTAATGTTGATAACCTAATGTAAGAAAACCAGTGATTTTAGCTCACGGAGAGACAGCAGTTGTTGATCCACTGCTTGTTCCATCACCAAGGTCAGATGAAAATCTGTGAACCAGCTGCTCCTGAGTCTCTGTGAGATAAAATCGCTGATTTTCTTTATGGACTTCTGCATGACAGAGTGTGTGGTGTCTGATGTTTGGAATTTAAAATCTCCAGTGAAGGTTCATCTGACAAATACCTGGAACAACCAGGGGTCAGTACAGAACCATCCAATCAATATGCTGCTCTGGGACCATGTGACCAATTCTTTAGTCAGTTTTTCCAGCTCTGGTGTGGACCACAGACCAGGAGGAGGAGTATGAGGAAAAAGAAGAGGTAAGAGAGGAAAGAGGAAAGAAGGCAAGGGAAAAAGAGAGAAGGTAAAGGTAAAAAGGAGGAAAAGTAAGAGGTGGGGGGGGCAGTAGTGTGTAGAGGAGGAGGAGGAGAAAACAAAGAAAACAATATGAGGAAGATGAGACAGAAAAAGAAGACAAGGATCAGGATGAAGCAGAGGAGCAGAGAAATGAGGCTGAAATGAGGAGGAGAAGAGAGGAGGAAACAGGGGAGACCTGGGACAGGAGGAGTCTGACAGTATTTTGTTTTTCTCCCTCTTCTTTAATATTCCAAAGCTAAACTTTTGGAGGTGTTTGGATCTCCTTTTCTGAACTCCTGCTGCTCCTCTGAATAGCAGCAGGAGGCAGGGAGATCAAGCAGTTACTCCTCACTCTGTCATTCTCTTTACTCTGAGGTTTTTACTGTGAGTGAAGATGATGAAAGCAGTAGCGGAAAGAGGTAGGAGACGGCAGAGGAGAGGGAGGAGAGGGAGGAGAACACGTGAGGGCGACACCTGCTGAGATCTGATCTGAAACTTCGACCAGAAAATCCAAAAATATACGAGGAAACGAGTCTGCAGTCAGAGCCAGGTCACATGGTCTGAGGGTCAGGAAGGAGACAGGATAAAGAAACAAACAGGAGCAGCACAAGGAGCAGGAGCAGAGACTCCGTCTTCATCACTGTGAGGTCTTTGCTGGTCCAAAAGGTCCAACCATCTTCATGGCAGCGTAGTTCTGTAGGAGAAGAGAAGGAGGAGAGAGCCTTTGTTAGATTGGATTTTTCTGTAATCTTTTGTCTCCTCCTCATCTCGTCCTGTCCCTCTGAGGCCTCCTCCAGGAGCTCGTTGATTCAACAGACAGAAAGTCAGACTCACAGGGAAGGAGTAGAGGAAGACACCCAGGAAGAGCAGGAGCAGGAAGAGGAGGATGAAGAGGAGGATCAGCCACTTAAAACGTCTCCACAAGATGAACTTCAGCGTTTTGTACGGCGAGGAAAACCAGAGGAAAGAGGTCTCAGGACGTCTGTGAGGAGGAGGAGGAAGAGGAGAGGGATGAAGGTCACCGTCGCTGCTATGTGTCACTGCTATGACTACGTGTGTGTGTGTGTGTCTCACTGAGGGTCCTCCAGGTGTGGGTTCATGTTGGGTTCATCTCTGCCCAGTCCAGCAGGACGCTCCTCCTGCTCCTGCTCCGTCACCATCTCCAGAGTCATCTCCACTTTGCCCTGTGACAGCAACAACTCAGGTCACATGACCAACAATGCCACTATAAGAACTCGTGTGTGTGTGTGTGTGTGTGTGTTCTCTGACAGCCAGGATCTTGTCTCCGTCCCTGTCACAGCTGCAGGGCCACCATCCTCTCACTGTCCTCTGCTCAAACAGAGACACCAGTTTGTCCGTGGGCTGCTGCAGAAGCTGAAGGCCACACTTGTCTGCAGACTTGGCAGGACGCAGCATGTGGTTCAGGTCCAGCGCCAGGTGACCTGATGGTCCCGGGTGACAGGGTCACATGCAGATGGACAAACAAGAAGGACAACATCAAACTTAATAGAAAAACTTTGTCTCCAAACTCCATTCACAACAAAGTTGTTAGTTCATGGACAGACCGGAGCTTCTGGCTCACTGCTGCCTCCTGTGGTTAGTTTCTGTCACCTGCTGGGTCAATGTGAGCTAAAATCATAGATCTTTCCTATGGACTTTGGTGTGAGAGAATAATTCTGTGTGACTAATGATAGACTTGAATTTCCACTGGTTGTATCAGACCAGTCTCCAGCTTCATGTCTGCTTGATGTCAAGGGTCAGCAGAGAGTCGTCTTACCAAGGTAGTCGTCGAAGGAGAACTTGTCATTGTCCCAGATCTGGATGGTCAATTTAGGAGACACTTTAGTTTCCACTTTATCCATGCTCCAGAAGTGTTCCTGTTCAGACAGGGGACACTTGTAAGGACTGATGCTTGAGGTTCACATTTAAAATCCAACCTTGAAGTTTGGAGTTCTGTTTGAGTTCATGTTCCCTCTAACCTGCCTGTCCAGTTCCCTTTCTCCTTCTTCCTTCCTTGTTCCCTGGTTCCTCTGTCCTTTCCTACTTTCCTTAATTCTAATCATTACCACATTTTATACAGTACAGTACAGGCTACAGTACAGTTATTCTGTCTCTAGCCTTCGGTGATAGCATGTAATGTCTTTGTTATTTAAAAGACTACCTTCAGCTAAGCCAGGCTAAGCTAACCCCGCTCACACCCTGGGCCTCTCTTCCTCTTCTGTCTTGACCAGCAGGTTTTTTTAAGTTGCATTACTGCCACCTACAGGGCCTATTTTCTACCCCAAGGTCATGGCTAACAGTTAGCCAAAGATAGCTAACAGCCGGCTGCTCTCTTCTCACCTTCTTGTCCAGGACACTCAGCTGCTCTGCAGGTAAATAGTTGAAGGGAAACAGGAACCTGTAGTTGAAGTTTCCTTCTCCGCCCAGGGAGCGATAGTGGACATCCGTCTTCAGTTTGTTATGCTCATGTCCATCCAACCACCTGCAAACACATGGATGAGGGGGCGGGGTTAAGGTGGAGTGGAGGCAGAGACAAAGACAGCACCAGTTTGAGTCAGTGTGTCACCCTTTGACGTAGATGTCACTCATCTTCTCCCCACTGATGCTGACGTCATCCAGGATGACGTCACTGGTGTTCCAGATGATGCAGCGCAGGAAGAACCTGGAACACAGAACCAGAAGAGTTACCTGGAAGAACAATGATGGCTAGGCTTCAAAACCTGTCACGTGATCCTGCTCCTACTTCTTGGCTTTTCGAGGAGTGATGTCAAACGGCGGTCCAGGTGGACCCAGAGATTTGGGGAAAAGATCCACCCACATTGTCAGACGGCCCTGAGAGACAGCAGCCACAGCCAATCAGGAGGGAGGTTAGTGATTATTGAGGGTTATTGATTAGCCTGATGAACACTGATAAGTACTGATGATTGACAACCTGCTGTATGTCGGGCTGTGTTGGACTGAACAGACGTCTGGTTTCCACATGTTCAGGAACCAAAGTGAGTTTCCTCAGGATGTGGAGAGAGAGGCGTTCTTTTAACGGACCCAGATGACGTCGGGACTCCCCCCTGTCATCTGAGCAAACGCACACACACACAAACACACACAGAATTATCCACGTGTGTTAAAAAAGTGTAACATTCAGTGACAAATGTGAAGGAGAAAAAAACAGCTGCTTCTAAAAGAAACAACAACAGGACGGAGTTTGATTTACTAAGGTGTGGTAAAGAGAAGAGAAGAGAGGAGAGGAGAGAAAGGTGGAAGGAATGAGGAAGGAGAGAAGAAGGAAAAAGTCAGAGGAAAGTTGGAAAAAAGATTTAAATATAAAGTTGAGGGGAAAAGGTCAGCGTTGGAGAAGTAGAGAAGCGGAAGAGGAGCACCACCTCTCATCCAATCAGCAGGAAAGTTTGTGGTTACCAATGACAACTGTGGGAAGAGAACGAAGCGCTGTGTTGATTTTGGCTAACATGGCCGTGTGTGTGAATTTGTCTTTAATATTAATCTCGTCTCTCCTCTCATCAGGTGGTCTCTGTGATTTAACTTCTTCACTGAACAAAAAAAAAAAAACAGAATGGAAAAGAAAACTAAAGTTTGTAAACCCCTCACTCTCTGTGGAGAAAACCCTTCATGTTAGCTCAGAGACAGGAGCTTCTGCTGCCTCCTGTGGTCAATTCATCTCACTGAGGTAAATCTGAAGAACATATATTTAAATAGTGACGTCCCAAAAACACCACCTTTGACCTGAGTGATGGAGGCAGCAGTAGAAGTCAGCAAAGGCTGCTGGGTCCCTGTCATCTAAAAACTCAGATTTTCTCTATGGACTTTTGAATGGGAAAGTGGTTGGTGTAACAACGTCCAAGGACACACACCCAGGTCAGCAGCTGTGTAACGGACTCCTCTGAATAAGACTGCGTTGTCCTGGTACCGTGGTTTGGACAGGTTTCTCCGCTCACACACTCGACACAGCAGTTGCCGTGGTGTCAGCTGATCACGCCACTGGTTCACGCCGGTCCTGAGGGTTGAGTGACAAAGAAAGAGTGCGTAAAAAGAAGAGAGAGAGTTAGTTTTAGTTCTGTTCTAATCCTGTAATCAGTTAAATGTGCAGTTGGTGACATTGTGAGGTTTATTGTTTGGTGAGACCAGAGGCAGCTAAGCTAACTAATGTACTAACATGCAGTAGTTTGGCTAACTATAAGCATCACACAGTCTTACCTTTAGTTGTCTTTCATCTACTTTTTTAGTCGACTTTTACCAATGGGCCCAGTGTTGTGTTTCTGGCCGACGTTTAGTTGCTTTTATATAAATGCAACTTTCATTTTTCTTGGCTTAAATTTAAGCTTCTTTTTTTTTTACATGATGTGTTTGAGTGATTTTATCATATCTAAATTTTGTAGAAGAGTTGTACGGATGGCGTTGTTCCTGTCACACTCACACACAGTAAGACTGGGGCAGACCACACATGGCTCCATATTTGGAGAGGAAGCGGTTTTCCAGGTCAATCACGGTCTCGCCGATCTTCTCGTCTCTGGTCAGCATGTCATGATCATAGAGCATCACCTTCAGGTCTTTCTCCAGAGGGAGGGAGCAGGTGAGTTCAAACATCCTGACAAAGATAACATCACAGTCAACAGGAGCCTGAGAACCAGCTGTGAGGAAAGGTTTACACTGGAACAAAGTCTGAGGATATTATAGCTCTGACATATATGAAAGATCAGGAAAAAAAGAGGAACAAACTTCATCAGACAAAGAATTAAAAAACGGTCAGTGTTGTCATTACACTGTCATCAGTGAGTGAGTACCGCCCCCTGCTGCTGTTACTGTGGTAAAAATGGTTTAAACTATGAAATAAAGTTTTATCTAACAAGATAAGTTGTGGTAAAAATGGTTTAAACTATGAAATTCTCTCTTTCACTCCTTTAGCACCTTTTCTGCACGGAAGTTAAGTTTTATCTGACAAGATAAGTAATGGATTTTACAAAAATGAAATTTAAAACTATTTTTGCTGAAACTGTACTCTCTTATATTTAAAACAGAAACAACATTGGTCTGTGATCTAAAGTCACTTTCTCTGTGGACTTTGGTCTGTGAGCTAAAATCACTGATTTTCTCTGTGGACTTTGGTGTAGGAGAGTGAGTGGTTTATAAACATGTGTTTTTGTTCCTGTGACATTGTGGCGTACTTTCCAAAGACAGGGTCCAGGGTAGAGGTCAGGTAGTTCTCATGGTCGTCGATGGTCTTTTTTCCAAGGGCAATCTTCACGTAGGGATCACACTGAAACACAAACACATTTATGACACCCGTGGTCGTCTCTGTCTGTGACTGTCCTTTCCTCGTCTCTCGTACCTTTCCATTGGCATCTTTAGGCTGCAGTCCGTCAGCCTGGATCACATAGACTCGGACCAAACATTCTTCAATTCCGTTGGGAGGCAGTTTCCTGAACTGTCTGGGTGGAGCCGAGGCGTTGGGGTCTTCAGGGAGAGGGTAGATCTTAAACATACCCTGGAGGAGGAGCAGGTTGAAGAACATCATGACATTTTCTAATTCTGTATGAAGAGAAGCCAGAGTAGAACTGGTACCTTGAACTCTCCGACCACTGATGGATCTTCTCCTTCATCCTGAGTCTTTCCTCTGTACAACCTGAAGGTCTGACAGAAGTCCGAGAGACCTTCAAAACCCTCCACCTTCTCCAGTTCACGGTCAAACACCTGAGGAAGAGGAGCAGGACGAAGTGGGTCATGACATCATTGGACTCATGACAAGAGAAAATCAGATGAGATGATGATGAAATGAAGAGAAGTCACAAAAAAGACGAGAATCAAACACACGGTTAGGTCAGAGGCAACTAAGTTTTTAAAAAGCTGTGCCGAGAGTCAGTACATCTCAGAGTGACCTTTACTGACCTCCAGTGGCTTTTTCACTTAAAATGACTCATAAATCACCAGTCTCTGCTATGATATCATTGATGTTCCTGTGAAAATAGTTCATTAAAAAGTGATGAAAATGGGAGGAGAGGGCGTACGAAGGCAGCGAGACGTTTCCTCTCCACTGTCACTCTCTCTTGGTTTTTGGTCATGACGAAACAAAGAGGTTAGTTAGAAAGGAGCGACGTGGGAGACGGAGGAGGAGGAGGAGGATGATTAGAGGAGCGATGGAGGAGGAGGTGCAGTCTTGGTGACTGTGAGGGTGGAGGGCGATGAAAGCCGCTGGAAAGAGAGCGAGGAGAAGAAGGACATGATGTAAATGAAGGAGAGTGGAGAAAGTCCACGGTTGTGAGACCAAACCCAGTGTCAGGGGAGTTGGTGGTTTTAGTAAAGACATCATTGTGTCGCTGATTATAAACAACTCTTCACAGCATTTTAATTAAAAACTCTGTCCTTTCAACCACAGTCTGATGACTTTTGTTTATGGTAAATACATATGTGGTCAACATGAACCCAACACAAGAATCCAACTGACCTTTTTAACGTTAGCTTAGCCCTAAAACAGGAAGAGCTGAACATTTCTAAAGAAAATATCGTTGAAAAATCACTGGAAAAGTAACATTTTCTCTAAACGAGACCCGACACGTCCATAGAGAAAATTAGTGATTTAAGCTCACAAGTAAACAGGAGCTGCGGGTCCACTGCTGCCTTTTGTGGTCACTTTGTGTCATTGAAAATAATCTAAAAGACACATTGACATACTTATAAAAACGGATGCAGCAGCAGACTAAAAGCTGCTGTTTCAATGTGAGCCTGAATGACTGACTGACTTTGGTGAGAGGGGATAAAACTTCAGCTTTCTGCCGTTTAGTTCGACAGGTCTAAAGCCAAGCTGTCTGACAGACTTGAACCAGGGTAGATTTGGAGGGCCTGTGAAGACCTGAGCTGGGAGTAAAGGTGAGTAAATTCAGATAGAAGTTCCCACTGGAGGCTGGAAACTGTGTCTCATCCAACAGGAGCAGCCCAAAGGGCAGCAGGAGTGATGCAGCAGCAGGAGGAGGAGGAGGAGGAGGAGGAGGTGAGAGGGAGGTGAAGGTGGTCGGTAAAGGTTGGAAACAGTGAGAGCAGCAGATCTGAACTAAAGGAGTTTGTTTGAAAAAGGGAGCGATTGAGAGAAACAAGAGGGAGGAGGGGCCAGGGAGGCAGCGGCTCATTGGTTCTTCCTGTAGTTTCCATCCAACTGTAGAGTGGATTCTGAGGAAACACTGAAAAACAGGACTCTGAGAGTGATGGTGTCTCTGTGTGTGTCCATGTAAGGCTGGCTGAACGTGTTGAAGGACCAGAAGAGAGAAGTGAGAAACCAGGAAACACACGGTTACCAGTGGTCAATGCACCTGCCTTACAGCAATAACAGTCACATGTTCGATTCTTCCTGAGTCTTCGAGGAATAGGGTTATGATTAGGGAAACTGGAGTTTTGGTTAAATATTCATTCTAAACTGACGTGCGGTGTGAATGGAACTGTGAATGACCAGCAGCGTAAATCAGTTACTTTACGAGAGTGAAAGGCTAAAGGAGTGAATGTTGTAAAGGTCTCTGTAACAGCCGTAAAGGTCATTTGCTTTAGCTCTCTCACACCAAAGTCACTGCTGCCTCCTGTGGTCAGCTTGTGTCACTGTGGTCAGTCTGAACAAAGGATATTAAACAGTTGTGACTCGGTGATGAAGGCCGCAGTGGATCAAGAAATGCCGTGTTTCTGTGAGCTAAAATAAGTGTTTCCCTCTATGGACTTCTGTATGGGAGAGTAAGTGGTTTTCTTAAATGAAGTTTTCTGTAGGAAAGGCCGTCTAAGAGTTTTCTTGGCACAGTTGGTTGTCTGGCAGTATGTCAACCGGACTTTGAAAAACCCAGGAGTGTCCCTTTTAGAATCGGTACAGAAAGGAAATCTCTGTTAAATTGGAGGAACATAAAAATGAAAAAGGCCCCGAAAGTTCTGATGTGGAACTGCGTCCAGGAGAGAGGAATAAAAAATAATTCTGGTGTAAAACTTCATCTCAGGCGTCGGCCTCAAAGACTGACGTGAGCCTCCAGTCCCAGAGGAGAAGCAGAGGTCCGAGTCTGGACCCAGAGAACATCAGGGATACGGCATGATGAGGAAAGTGTGGATGATGAGTGGAGGAACCGAGAGGCTGATGTGAGCCTTCTCTCCTGGATCTGACCAACGTCAGGAGGTGGCCTCTGCTGGTCCCACTGAAACACTTCCTGAGTTAATTCACCACAAATGAGTCACTGAGGTCGTTCAGGAAAACAGTGGGAACGTCGAGGGGAGAGAAGGGGTGGAAAGGGTGGAGGAAGAAGAGAAGGAGTGAAGGATGGATGAAGGACGGGCTGATGAAGAGGATGTGGAGTACTTGGAAAAACCCAAGTTGGCAAATACCTCATCCTTCTTAACTTCCTTCTTTTCTCCTGCCTTTCTTTCTCCTTCTTTGTCTCACTACCTTTCCTACTCCTCTTTCTTCTTCTTCTACTTCAGCTCCTCTCTTCCTCTGTTCAGAACTTCAATTCTTGTCTTTCCTTTGCGTGCTTCCTTCTACGAGGCCTTCCTTTCACCCACTTTCCTTTCCTTTTCTTATTACCATCCTTATCTTACATCTATACAGGATCATCAGTGTCGCCCCCTGCTGGACCCTCAGAGGAACAACGGTTCTTTACCTTTAACGTGTCGTAGCCTTCCTCCAGGTAGCTTCCACACTTGTTCTTTTCTCCAGTGGAGGCGTAGAACTTACTCCACCAGTCCATGGACTCTTCAGCCTGACAAGCACATGATCAGAGGTCAGAGGTCAGCAGACCAGCAGTGTAAAAAGGTAGAATGTGGTCCAATTTGTCAAGGATTCTTTTTGACTCTTACTCCAATGAAATTAAATTAATAAATAGTCAGTATTTGAATTATTCTGAAAGACAACATTTCAGCAGGTGAAGAAAGAAGACGATTCCTGATAGACACCTTATCTACTGGCCAATCAAGGAATCACATACTTACCCACTGTGCCATCTAGTGTCCACAACAGGATGCAAAGAAAAAGGGTTGACATGAGGTTAGTTCTACCATTTGATGGTTCTTTGATGACAGTTAAAGCACTTTGACTCCAACACTGACTCTCTCCGTTCTAACTCTGTTCACTTTGGCAACAAAGAGCAGAGACACATCCGGCTAATATTTAACTGAACATTTTGCTACAGTAAATGATGAAAATTTACCGCGTTAGACCCCGCTCTGACTTTCACCTTTGACCTTTGATCCTGCGGTACAAGTGGCCGTGTGTGTGTCTGTGTGCACTAGGTGTTGTGTGTGTTGCAGTGTTGGTTTTCATACGTCTGACGGAGAGTCCTGGAGGACACACACAGACACACTCACACACACAGAAGTTCCTGGCGCCCTTGTCATCACTGCTTTGGCACCAAACACACTCACAGGACACATAAATACACACACACACACACACACGTGTGTGTGTGTGTGTGTGTGTGTGTGTGTGCCACGCTCTACGTGCTGCCCTTTTCCATGCCACAGTGGCACAATGGTTCGGAAAAATGTGAAATTCTGTATTTACCCCTCTGACCCCGCCCTCACTGTCTGTGCGAATACTAATAAATATCACACACACACACACACACACACACTCGTCCACTCAAAGAAAAGTTGGCGTTGACGGTTAAAGTAAGGTTCAAGTAAAAAAAAAAAGGGCTAACTCAAAGTTATTTTGCTCCAAGTCCAGGTTAACTATGAGTTCTCTTCATATTTTTTACATTTGTTGTTGAAGTTATTTTTGTCTTGCCACTGGTGCTGCCGCTCTAATCCTAATCTGTCCAATCTGTCTGTCCTGCGACACACAGACACTCCACTACAGCGTCAGACGTTTACAGGAGCAGTCGAATTCTTGGGGACATCTTCTGACCGTGGTTCTAGCAGAGGTTTTTGAGGAGTCAGTATCAGCTCTGACAGGAGATCCTCTGAAACGGTTCCAGCTCTGAAACCGGATCAGACTGATCCCTGTTGGAAGGAGTTTGGTTTAATCTGGGAATCATCAAACCCCAGGGTTTTTTCTTCATCTTTCACCGAGATGAATACGGCAGGATTTACAGCACATTAGAGGTTTTACGTTGGAGGTTTTTCTTTCTCCGCTGCCATGAGATATTAGCCCTGTCCTCTCCTGGAGCTTTTTTTTCTCCCCCTTCATCCCTGCCTCCGCCTGCTCCCACTGTCTGCTCACACAGACTTGTGGTGAGGAGGATCTGTAGCAGCTCTGTTGACTTTGGCCTGCTGCAGATGGAAAGTGGAGCCTTTAATTTGACTGCTTTTAAAGATCTGACCCTTAATAAAACAAATAGCAGTGTTTGTAGAGAAAGGAATCGTCCCTAATTACTCACACTGTGTGTTTGTCTGCTCCAGGTCAGAGCCGGGCTTTAAATGGACCTGGCTTAGATAAATAAAAGATGGGAGACTGTAACAGCCCAGCGTTCAAACGCGGCGTCAGGTTTCCTCCGTGACCACGCGGCTCACCGAGCGATGCTCTGTTAAAGCCGAGATTTCTCTGAGCAGAAAAGAATTTCCTCCTCGGCCATGAGGCAGAGGAGGAACAAACGTCTGGTTTCTCTGCAGACACACGTCTTCACCAAAGAGGAGGTGCACTTGAGACAACAGCGCTGAGCTGACGGACTGACTACACACGGACAAATGGGTTTGTTTTTTAGACTAAAACAAGTGATGACGATGAAGAGACACAGGTGATCGATATCTAATATGATTAGACTGATGATCCATTCAATCATTTCACTAAGACTCATTATTTTTTTAAGTGGAAGGATTATATTAACGTATGAGGGAGTTTCAACATAAACGTATGAGCTAACAGTTAGCTAATGTTTCTGCCCCTCACCAAAGAGAACAGACTGTTGAGAAAATGAGAGAAGACAAAACCCAAAGAGCTCAAATAGTGGACAGTGAAGAATTACATCACCGTTCATTTGAGCTCAGATGAGATCTCCAAAACACAAGTCATCAACCTGAGGACTGTGGACCAGTGCCAGACCAGGGGTCATTTGTACCAGGCCACAGTGGAAATAGATTAATACCACATTTTAGTTTCATACAGAAAAGTGTTGATGTAGGTTTGAGGTTTAGAAGATGGAAGTCGGACCTACATGAAGACTGGAGTCAGAGGCTGAGAGGTTAATGATAGCGGAGCCTGCCCCATCTGCAAACTAACACACACACACACACACACACACACACAGATATTAATAAATACACACTTAGATACATGCACAGGTTAGAGGGTTAGTGTCCAGACAGGACGAGTGTTCATTTTATCTGTAAAGTCAAACCTAGAATTAATTTAATTCAAAACCATAGGAAAAAAACATTTTTACAAAAGTACAGACATGTGAGTCACATGTCAGAGGTCACATGACGATGATTCAAAACACATGTCAGAGGTCACATGACGATGATGATTCGAAGGTATCAGGTCACTGCTGACTGGTTCTATTCAACTATCTGACACTGCTGTGATTAAACAACTAACAGAAGCTGACAGAGATGTCAAAGCAGCAGCAACAGTAACAGCAGTAACAGCAGCAGTAACAGCAGCAGTAACAGCAGCAACAGTAGTAACAGTAACAGCAGTAACAGTACCAGCAGTAACAGTAACAGTGGTCAAGAGTTCTGGAGAATGTGGAAATCAGCTTTGTTGATTTCCACATTGTTGACCACAGAAACCCAGTGATGACATCATCACTGTCTGATTTATCCACACACACACACACACACACAGAAACACTCTCTAATGAACATTCTAAACGTTTTAGAGTCACCACAACAATCAGGTTACTACATCTTCTATGTGTGTGTGTGTGTGTGTGTGTGTAAAACTGTCACTGTGGTGACTGCGGGTGAACAAACAGGGAGGTTACAAAGAAATCAACCTCAATGGAGAGAACAGGAGAGGAGAAGGAGAGAAATAGAGGAAACAGTTTCTCAGCCAGGCTCAGACCGTCACGGGGGACAGGAGCTACTGTCACTGCCCGATCCACGTCACCTGCCCGCCATTTTGGACAGAGACAAATGGCCACTGTGGCTGTGGCTGCCTGATTTGCGCCTATGTAAAAGTGAAGCGAGAATGAGGCTGTCACTGCCAAATTTCAGATGCACATGAAGGGCCAAGCACCAGGAACCAAAACAGTTGTGCTACCTGTGCTTCTATGTTGGACGATACTGGCCACAAAACAAAACAGAAAGAAATAACTCTACATGTTGTAAACTTGATGACCGTAAACCGTAAATAGGTCGAACTGCACTCCGGAATAAACAAATAAAGTCTGTCCAAGTGGAGTTGTCATTCTTCGCTGCATGTGGATCGGGCAGTGACAGCTACAGGAAGTAACCGGAGCCGCAAGAAGTGACAGGTGCTACAGGAAGTAACCGGAGCCACAGGAAATGACAAAGTGATTTTACCTGTTCAGAAACCAGCGGCTCCTGGTCATCGATGTCAATAAAAGCGTCTCCTGGTATCAGCTGATTCGTTTCTCCTGCACAGATTGGTGTACATTTTTAATGACAGGTCATTGCTGATGTCCACTATACTATATATGTTTTCATGTCTTACGTCTCCATCCTGTCTCATCGTCCTCTTCCTCCTCCATAGCTGCAGCTCCTCCCTGCTCCTCTGGGTGGCAGCGGTATTCCTCCAGACAGCGAACAGTGCACTGACCAACCACAGGTTTCCTCCCAAACTGACGGTTGTCAATGACTTTGATGACAATAGGAGGCATGTAGAGCTCCTCGCACGGAAGTTGCTGAAAAAACAACCAGGGAAAAACGTCAGGTCCTGATGTCAGACTTAACTTTTTAAACTAAAATTTGTTTAACTAAATTATACCAACTTCTAGTTTCTTCTTGGCTAATAACCTGCTTCTTTTCGGTAAATTTTAGCAACCTTCTTAGCTAACTTTAGCTTACCTGGAGACTGTATAATTATTCTGTTACTTTGGAAAATTTTAGCTTAATCTTTGACTAACTTAGGTCACGAGCTAAACTCAGTTAATTTTAGTTCTGTTAGGCTTATCCTTAGCTGATCATTCAATTATTTTAGTTTTTTTTTTTACCATTTTTGACCGTATTTAGTTCTCTAACAGTTGTGAGCTAAAATCTCAGATTTTTTTCTATGGACTTTGGTCTGTGAGCTAAAATCACTGATTTTCTCTGTGGACTTCAGTATGGTAGACAGAATTCCATTCAGAGACTAAAACAGCTCTTAAAGCCTGAGCAGTTCCTTTATAAAGCGCCTATATTCAGTGTTGCTCACTGAGCCGTGTCCATGCTGTCATCCTCCACCCAGTGTTCAGTGAGTGTAACTGTATATAATGTGGTATATACAGTAGGGACTGGAGCAGACACCCTCCCAGCCTGAAACCTCCCAGCTGCAGCACAGCCCTCCTCATGAACTGTGTAACTCCAGCAAGAACAAATCATTTACTGAACTATTTTGTCAGATGTGGTTTGGCTAACCTTTAACTACTAACTATGCTACTTTAAATTCTTTAACCACCTTTATTGTGTATTTAGTCCATAATATGAATTTAACGAAAGACGTTTCACATTTTAAATGTCATTAACCCTTTGTTTGTCTTTGCTAACCTTTGGCAGCTAAAACCTTATTTTAAACTAGCTTTAGTCTTTGTTTAGCTAACATTTATCTGCTGCTTGTGGACTGAACTTTAGAGTTGTGGCCTCCATGTTCTCACCACGTCCAGTAGCAGTGTGTTGACGTCAAAGTTCGGTTTCTTCTTCATGCTGCGGATGACACAGCTTTGGACAACTGTGCCTCCACAGTCCACCTGCAGGCTGGGAGAGGTAACACTGGCTAACTGGAAACTCTTCAGGTTTCGGACGCCCCACGCTAAGATCTGAGAAAAAGGAAAAAAAACAACAACAAAATACAACAGTTCTTTTCATTTTCATCAGTACCTACTTTTAGTCTAATGTTTCATAAAGTGATCTTTATACGTTTTTGTTAGTTTATCATAAACTTTGAATGTAGGCTGGATGTCACAGACCTTTGACTGTCCTAGTAAAACTGTTGCTCTTTAACTGTATATGTGGAACATTTTAAGCATCTTGGTATAAATGGTCCTGTGGTACTTTTTAGCTTTTATTAGCTTGCTTTTGAAGCTTTTGCAGTTATAAAACGGATGTTGACTTTTATCTTTTCTGTTTTATTTTTGCAGAAACAGACGGCGAGCAAACCTCGATAGCGGTTCTCTGAAGAACTGGTTTGATTCCCTGGGGAACCATGAAGACGTTTGGTTCTCTTTGAGGAGGCAGGAATGGGACGTCTGACTCGTCCGGCTGTCAATCATAACAGAGGAAATTGTCACCCATATTTAAAACATTGTGTGTGCTTTGGGTGTATGCGTGCATGCGCATGTGTGTCGTACCCACTGCTGCAGGTTTTCAGAGGGAAATCCCGAAAACAGAAACTGCAAAAAAGAAAACGTCAAATGTTAATTAGTAAGTAGTTAGTAATATCCAGTAATAAATTCAACTTGTTTTTTTAAAGTTCTTGGCGTGTGCGTGTCAGCAGGAGTCAGCTTTACTATCTTTGTTTTGGTTTTACCTCATCCAGAACATGGGTGGAGGTGGTGATGTCTCCCTGTGGAGGTGAGGGAGACGGAGGGGAGGAGGCGTTCGAGAACCCAAAATAAAGAGAAGTTAAAAATGGAAAAGAATAGTAGTGACACTGTTAGAGTTCAACAGAAAACCAAACACTCTCTCTGCCACACCAAAGTCCATAGAGAAAAATCAGTGGCTTTAGCCCAGAGTGACACAGCAGCTGCTGGTCCACTGCTGCCTCCTCTGGTCAGTTTTCTTCACTGATGTAACTCTGGACAAAGTATTTCAAACAGTGAAGTCACAAAATTAAATATGTGAAAAATAGCTGACCTCCTGTCCTGGAATGTGGTGAATTGCAGGCTGTGGAGACAAAATAAGGAACAAACTTTAGTTCAAAGTAAAAGTCTGATGTCTCAGAGGTGAGGAGAACCTCGGACCTTCTCTCTGGGAATGAGCTCAAACGCAGCCAGCAGCTCGCCAGCATTTCTGTCACCGTGACGAATCTGGAACCAGCTCAGACGTGGACTGGAGGTGAGAGAGGGCTGACAAATGCAGCGGCCAAGGAACTCATCTGCTCCCTATTTGGAAAGAATAAAAGACACCTCTTCAAGCGGCAGACGGACGAGGACAAATGCCTGACGCAGAAGGTCAAACACTCACGTAAGAATCTTCGTCATACAGCTCAACCACCACGTTGGGAGGGTTGGCCGAGATGGCTTCAGGATCTCCAAAGATCTCCACCTCATAGAAGATGAGAGTCTGGTCCCAGATGGGATTCAGGGAGTTCCGCACCGTCACTGTTCTGTGGGACTGATGGAGGAAGGACACGATGGCGTAGGCATCTGGATGGACAGACAAAACAGAGGAGGACAGATTTCTGAGTTCAACCTCAACAACATACTTAGAATTAATTGTTTAATTAATGTAACTACCTAAACTATTTTTCTTTAAGTCAAAATAACTAGGGCTGTCCGCCCAATCAGCCTGATATTAGCATAATTAAGTAATATCTGCAATAAGCGTTATTGGTTTCTCCTACAATCAATGAAAAGCTGATGATGCAATGCCTGGGTTTCACTAAATGATGTGTGACCTAAAAAAGGTTTTGGGGATAAACGGCTGTAAATCAAAGTGAACGTCACTAGATGGCAGCATTGCAGCTCATTTAATGAATCTATTTTAGTAATCAGAGGATTGTCAACAGAATGCTGGTGTCAGCAGCTCATACGATGGTTTGTACAGATAAATAAATAAATATGACCAGGCCAATATTGGTATTGTTTGACATCAGAATTGAGAAATTAGGCGTATCGGATATCGGTAAAAAGTTAATATCGTACATAGCTAAAAATAACTTAGAGTTAGCAAACATCCTGATCTGAACTTTAACTGGAGCCTAACAAATGAGGATCTGACTCAGTGAAAATAACTGTGTCTGTCACAGTGACATCAGCAGCTCGGGAATGCAGCGCTGGGACCGCCGATCAGTGAGGTTTGTTATTACAGGTCACATTGACTATGCTGCTTGTTAACACACTCATTTGTACATAAACACACACTCACACACACACACACACACACAAAGTGTTTATTATCACTGTCCTGGTAAAGAGTCTCAGTGGAGTCGTTTACATTGGAGTCAACAGAAGCTAAACTGCACTTTTCCCACCAGCCCTCAATTAACCCTTAACACACTCACACACACACACACACACATACACACACACACTAACAGAGGTCCCCTGGAGCTGTTTGAGTTTATTTTGTGTTGTTTAGAAATGAGATGATGGACTGTTGGGATAAAAGGTCACACTGAGAGAGAGAGGATGTGGGGACAGAGAGAGAGGGAGAGAGAGAGACAGAGAAAGACAAATAAGATAACAAAAGAAATGAAAACATGATAAAAGACAAAGGAAAACAAAAAAAAGGACAGAAGACAAAAATATATAAATATAAATACTCAGTGTCTGTCTTATCCAGCAGAGGGCGCCGAGTGTGTATGAGGGTGGTTAATGTAGTGTTTTCACCTGAGAAACTGTCTTTGTCCATGGCCAACAGATCTCTGCACTGATACAGGTAACACCGCAGCTGGTACCGACTGCCTCCTACACACACACACACACACACACATAGATAACGACACTAGTAATTAGTACAATATACTGTACACTTGTGTTCGTGTGTGTGTGTGTGTGTGTGAAACTGACGGTCAAAGAAACAGGAGATAGTTGGTCTGTTGACTCCAAACGTGGTCGTCACTGATCTATCATCAGTTCTGTCTTCGATGCTGCTCTGAGAGGGGCAATGAGCAGGAAGAAAGGGAAGAAGAGGAAGAAAGGGAGGAAGTTAAGAATAACAAGGAGTCAGAAGAAGGAGAAATATTAAAACAAGGGGAAAGAAGGGTGAGGGAAATAAAAAAGAAAAGGAGAGAAGGCAAAGAAGAGGAGGAAGAAGATTCAACTCCATCAAATTCATTTCTCTCTGTAGCATTTCCAAATTTTAAAAAGTCAGTGTAAAGGTTTTCTACCAAAGAACATTCCAGAGCAAAAATGGCCGCCGGGCCCGTCTTCTCCAGAGGCTCCATCCTTCTCCTCCAGCGTCTCCTCCTGAAACTGTCTGTCTTCCTGGGCTTCAGGTGGAACTTCCATCCAAACAGGGAGGCGTATTCCCAACCTTCCCGCTCCGACTCATAAGGACGCTGCTGCTGCTGCCGCTGCCTCTGCCGGGGGGGAAAGATAGGTG